TGATTGATCAAATAATATAGTAAAATGTAACATTCATTTCCTCTCTTGAACTGACCATTCATTTAATGCTAAATTAAGTTATACAGAACAAAAAAAGGGTGGAACGATTTTTGCAGTGCTGTAATTACAAGGTAATGTGAGAATATGTGAGCGATAAAGAAATGTCTTCGAATGACATAACTGTCATTGTATGACAACGAGGAGTCTGGGTATGGGTGTGTAAGCGCCGGTGTGAGTGTCGATGAAAAGTTTAGCCACACCCACATCCACACTCTTCATGTGGTCACTTCAAATGTGCATGAATGATTGCGAACAAGTTGAGTCTTCTGTGAATACCTATCTGAAAATCAGCTTAAATGAGAAGGATATTCTAATTTAAAAGATAAAATCTCGGGAGGCGAAAACGACGGCAGGAAGTACAGTATCTATGATGATATTTCTTTTCTTTCATGCATCTACACAATGAAGAAGTATGCTTCGGTAGTCAAACTGCACGAAGAAGCGAAATTATAGGCAGCAACGAAGAGCAAACCTGTGAATTTTCCAGTCTCACAGATTGTTATTTTTTCATTTCTCAAATTGTGTGAAACTCATTAAAATAAAAGTGAGGAACACTACAATAAGTTGGAAGATTCCAAGTTAGTTTGCTTCAGAGTTACGAAAGAATTGACGACAAAATGTCATAACTTGGAGTATTTCTCAAACTTCTTATGCATATGAGAAAGAGAGAGGCAGAACAAAAAAAAAACTCAATAAAAAGACGTTTTTTTTTTCTATAGAATCGTAAATGTATTACGGTAAGATTAAAATTTTTTCCTTCTTTCTTTCAAGAGTGTCACATGATTTCTCATGCTGTTGTTTCTTCCTCGTAGGAAGAAACTTCTTAAGCGATGTTTCACTTTTAAATAGCGAGTGCAGAACACGAGATGAATTCATACGAATTGACTAGCTAAGACGATGTTCGACGAGAGTGATGATCAGAGTACTACTACGTCATCCCAAGCATTCAGTGGACCACGAACTCCATCAGGACATGTCTCTTCCTTAGGTAGACCGCCTTTACCTCATGGAGTATCATCCAGAGAAGATTTTATCGTTTACATCCCTGACCTTCCATGGAATTATCGAGAAGATGATCTTGAACAATTGGTCCGGCAACGCGTCGAAACCGCTCTACGTAAGAAAGTTGCTGATGTCAAATGTTATTCGAAACTGGGTGTGGGTGTCCTTCGACTATTGGAGCAAGACGATCGCGAACATCTTGTGTCTCGTCTTGGATCAGTAGTCTTCGATCAACAACTGAATATCAATATATCGTTCACGACGGAGCTGGATTTGGATTCATTTATTGTGTTCGATAAAGATATGCCGAAGATTCCTTCTGCTAACGAACTCGCTTGTCATTATGCCAATACCTACGGAACACGAATCGCTCCTCATTGTGAATCTATATCGATGGAATTTCCCAACATTTATCGTATTTCTTTGAAAACACTGAACGAATTGATTCAAGCAGTGAAGAAGCCTGATTTTCGAATCGGAAATTCTTTTGCCACCGTTTATTTGCGTGTTGATTGTAGCTTCTTCGAAGATTTACCATCGAATATCAATGATGAACAAATTTTATCAGCGATTGAAAAACAAATTGGTGACAAAGATTTTCCTCCAGGATCGTTTTACGTTCAATACAATAAGAAGACCGGTAATGCAGTGATTTTGGCAGGCAAATCGGTGGGCAGGAAATGGATAACAGAAAGCAACTTGATTATTGGTGAACATAGGATACCGAAAAAGAGTAAATTGGCATACCGTGTACAGATTGCTCCTATTCCACGTGGTTTTGATATTAGAGGGATCCTTCAACACTCCTTGTTCGTGAACCGATCTGTTTCTCATAAACATATCGATGATAAACTCATTCTCGAGATGACCGATAGAGACAGCTATGAAAACTGTTTAACCATTGGGGGTTTTGCTATCGACGATCATCTAATGCGAGTGGTGGCGCACACGAATGTAAGCGATTCCAATTCTACTGATCTCGATGCTGCCAATTGGTACGAGACGTCTATGCTCGATATGAAGCCGGACATCATGACGGTGATCAACGATCCTCAACATATTACAATGCACTCTCGATGGAATGCTGATCAATGGCTTGAACAAATGCGCAAAGCGGAACGACTGGGTCGTGGCTCGAAGAAATACAATCTCACCCAACATTTATTACGAGTAACAGTGATGTTGAATACCATCAATACAGTGCGAAAACGAAAATATTTTGTTGATTCGAAAGAAGTTGTATTGAAGTGCGAGCGTTTGCGAACGATCGGTTATGATCATAAATCAAAGTTATCGCACAGTAAGAAGATCTCGGAAAAAGAATTCAAAACACCCTATTCGTCGACTACTGTCAAGGTATTGAATGAAGATTGTCTTGTTCTATATGAACAATTAGTCTCGCAAGGGTGTCGACCCCTATTACTGAATATGGCCAATGCTACGAGTCCTGGTGGTGGCTATCGAAAAGGAGATGGAGCACAGGAAGAGAATATTTTCCGTCGTTCGGATTACTATCAGAGTCTTGATGGTGAGTTAGCTGATACTGATCGATCAGAACGGATTTTTTGTACATCAAAATGTGAATTGAAACCATTCGCTGGTTATGGAGGCTTATATCCGATTCCAGAATTTGGAGCAATTTATACCTCTGGTATCACTGTATTTCGTCAGACTGAAACGAATGGGTATGCTTATATGAAGAATCCGCTTTACAATGTCTGTGCTATTGCCATACCTGCCTATCGAGATCCGGAATTAACCAGAAACAATATGCTCGAGAATAAATTTGCTGTAAAAACGCATAAAAAGATCGAGAATATTTTTACCATTGGACATCATCATAAACATGATTGTTTAGTATTATCTGCTTTTGGCTGTGGTGCCTTTCGGAATCCACCTAAACATATTGCTGCATTATTCAAATCGGTAATCTACCAATATGCCGGCTACTTTGAAACTATTTACTTCGCCATCGTTGATGATCATAACACAGGCAATGCCATCAATCCTCTAGGCAATTTTCTTCCGTTTCAGCAAATACTTGATGGTTTGGTTGTTCGACCACCGACCACACTACGTGTCAATGGAGCAAATGGACCTTACCGTATTCTGGATAAATCGAACAATCAATTAACTCTGAGTGATGTTTGTATTCTTTATCTTCCACCGTGTCAACATGGTACCAAATGTCAAGAAATCAAAGATGCTGCCCACAATAGTAATTATATACACCCACCTCTATGCTTGTTGCAGCATGGGACCGAGTCCTGTGATCAGATCAATGATGAAGTACATCGATTTACGTTCATTCATCCTGCGAGGTGTCGAGATGAAGGAAGATGTTCCAACACGAATCCACAACATCTGAATGAATACGAACATCCGAAATTCTGTAAAGATGGATCTCATTGTGCTGATATTAGTCTTGAACATTTATCGGCTTACCGACATTTGCCTATCTGTAGATATGGACTGGAATGTTCAAACTACTTACGAGGTGAACAGGATCATTGTGAATCATTTCGTCATTGCCAAGCGATTTGTCCGTACGACAATTGCTGTGTTTATTTTCATGACAAGAAACATATGCAAAATACTATTCATACGTTCCAACCACCATGTCCGTTCGCCCCGTACAACTGTCATCAGCATATTGAATATCTACAATCGGATCATACACAACCAGTGTCACGAGAGATCGAAAATCATTGTCTCAAATATTCCCATGTATGTCCTTTTGGTCGTCAATGCACAAGCATTGGCGAAGAACGACATTTGAGAACCTCGATTCATATCGCTCGACAACTATGCTCAGATGACCATCGATGCTCGCAACTGACGAACGAAGACCATCTTGATTCATTTTCTCATCCAAACATTCGAGACATTCGTTTATTCTGCAAATATGATGGTTACAAATGTGTGGATAGAAGCCAAAATAAACATTTAAAAAATTATCGACATGGAAAAAACCACCATCACCACGGCGTTGCTCGATATGCCAAACTCAATGCAGGAATCAATTTCGTTCGAAATCAAGATCAGTTATTGCGACTGATCAAGGACTATGTTGATGCTTTGAACTGGCAAAAAGCGAACATATCTCCGACTATTCTGAATTGGATCTTAGCATTACAACCTGTTCATCGATGTAAAAGAGATATTTTCGAATCCATTCTTCTTCATGGTCATGTAATGAGTCGTCACTATATGAGATTATTAGCAAAACCACGACATGTTGTTCAAGCAGTGAAAGAGCACAGTCGAGTACGTCTGATATTTATGCAACACAAAAATCCTATAGTGGAAGAGAATGTTTCAAAGCTTATCGAACATTTTGTCCAGGCAGAGTTCACGAAAAAAGAGCCACATGGTGCCACTGCACTAGATCAAGATCAAGAGTATCAGATCAATGTAATCAAGCAAAAACTTAAATCATCCCTGAAAGAGCATGATATTAAAGTGATACAGGATTGGTCAGTTAGAATAACTCAAGCAGCGATCAAGTTGAATGCTTCACCCACAGGTATTGGCTATGGTGTTGATCATACATTAGGCACAGATAGCCATGTCTTCAGTATACTAGGGCCTCATCTGGGTCATTATTATGGTGATATTGTCATTATCTTCAAATCCGAACTTATGTTGCATCCTGATTCGAATTTTTCTATTGAAGCTGGAACTAGTTTCAATAGTGGTGCTATTTACAAGCAATGCCCATGGTTCAAAGATCCAGGGCGTGCAGAGGAACGTGCTAAACATTTCCATCATACAAAGTTACATTGTTCTATTCCTAGTTATGAAAACGCAGCAGCGACAGCATTGATCGCTACCACAGGTCTCAAAAACAAATCGATGAAGGTTGATCTTTCATCTTTGACGGAACGATGGTGTGCTGTAGATTCACATGAAGTACTTGAAGCTCATTTACCTCAATTGATTCCATTGGATTACATTGATACTGTTTACATACCGAAAAATGCTTTCGAATCCCTGTCACATCATGCTCAAGAAAATGCTCAAAAGGCATTGGGACGCTCATTACACATTACTGATCACCAAGTTGATCTTAGCTTAGAAAAAGCAGGCACAACAGTACCATTGGATGCCACTCGCAGATCGTATCTAAAATTTATCGTAGAACAAATCATCAAGAAGATTGATGAACGAAGCCAGGAGATACAGGCTCCGCACGGCTTTGACCTTACAGTATCAGCTTCTAGATTCGAAGAATATATTTCTCTTCCTTTGAAAATATCTGATTCATATTATCTATATTCTCTTAATAAGAAAAATGCACCCAATACTTTGGAATTTACTTATATTTACTGGCAAGCAATGTATGGCGATATGATGATCGTCATTTCCAATGAACGTATTGAGATGGGGAAAGATCAACCGAATCTGCGATGTCTCACTTGTTATGTAGCTGAGACACCATCGACAGCGAGTGATGAGTATCGTGAAGAATATTCCTATATCAATGATGGTTTACCCTATCAACATGAGACTCATGTGCATGAGAATCATTTACGAGCAAAATCCAGTGCTTTTTACTGTGGCTGTAAAATTGATGATTTCTTTACATTTTGCTTGAAAATTAGCCACCACATAGGTGAAGCAACGCTATCCCATGCTGGCTCAAATGGTATTTATAATCATGAAAAAATTTCGTATCAATTCAACAAGAGAGATTTAGATTTATCAAGAATCGATTATATTCATGTCAGTGCGGGGTCTCAAAATGTCCCCATTCGTCGTTTAAGAATCAGTCATGAATCTGCACCAGAACTTCATCCATCATTTGACAAAGATTTTCGAATTGATACATCGAACTTGATGAAAATGCATCGATCATCGGTTCCTTATACCGCTCCCCTTCCTCCTACCACACCTCGGACCAGTACCTCGAGGCCCAGTCGTGAACGATCTCGAGTTGCGACTGATGTCGGACCACAAGAGAGAAGAAGTCGAGCTGCGTCCGCTGGAGCAACAGCAAAACCACGCAAACCATCGATTTTCCGAAGGGTTATCAATGCTATATTTAGTTCTCTCACGGACGACGAACCGCCGAAATCAAATCCAGCCAGATCCAGCTCAGTTTCTGCTGCCGCTTCCTCAAATTCAGGAGAGATGTCTTCACCAAAACTTCCACCTTGCAGTGAATCAGTCTACTGTCTTCGACAACAGATTCGAGATCATACCAAGAAATATTCTCATCCATGCCGTTTCAATGAACTTTGTCGAAATAAAGCTCATGAATCCCATCTCGTTCATGAAAATCATAAAGTCTCTAAATGTCCCAATGACGTGAATTGTTCTGAACGAACGAATCCTGTGCATCGGGCCAAATATCGTCACACTGATCTACCTGATTATCTTATTCCATGTCGTTATCAAGAAGAATGCTATGATAGATCCAAACAACATCGAATGAAATTTTTCCATGGCGAAGAATTACCAAAAATCGAAAGTCAGTTTTCTCTACAATTATACTTGGTCTCATTTTTGTTTGTATTGCTTTTAGAAAGCAAAACATTGGTAAATCCTCATGCCGGTGGTCACGTAAGAGCTTCTCAGATTCCTTGTCGATATGGTGATAGGTGTCGAGACCGTCGAGACCCCGCTCATTGTGCCAAATTTTCCCATCCTACGTAGACGATCAAAACTACTTCGTTTATCTGCTTGCGTTTGTGTTTTTTGATCTTAAAGTACACTAACACAATAGAATAATAAACTAACAAAAGAGAGAAACGTCGAACCATCACGCACCTAGCTCCTTGTCTGTATTAGTGCCAAGAACAGACCTTCCAATTTCTCCGAGAAATGAGTAATGCAAATGGGTCATTGAAGAGAAAGGAAAGTGCCGTCGCTGTTTCTGTTGTTCTTGGCTCTAGTCAAAGTTGATAAGTTCTTTTCTCATTAGCAGCTCATCGCACGCTAAGAAGAGAATCAAATCATTCCTCTTCTTCTTCTTCTCGTTCTCCTCAGTGACCTTTTCTTTTCCAGATCGTCAGACGTGACTATCCAGCATTTCCGATTCAGTGATTGAAATTTCTCAACCATTGAATGAAGAAATGCCTGTCACTAATTCGTCGACAAAGGCTCGAACCACGTTGGGTTACCTTTGTTTACAACTCTTCTATTTTTTTCCGGATCATTTATTTGCTCGTGTTCTTGCCTGTACATTTATTTGTCAAGCAATGATCATGTGGTTGGGCACAGCATTGAATTCTATTCTTCAATTATTATTTATTTCCTTCTCATTTGCGGCTTCGTCGAAATCTGATGCTTTACCACCGTGGGTGTGGGTGATAACAAGAGTAATAACTAAACCCACATCCAGTACGAACAGTGTAATCGTCGTTTATCGAAAAATATTCAGTGTTGTGTTAAAACGATTACAGGAATATGGTGGAACACAACAACGTCTGTCTCAATTATTAGATGAAGAATAACAACGAGAATTTGAACATGAATTGGAAGAGTAACGACAATTGACATACTCTTTACCTGTCAAACCATGTTGTCCTAAACTACATGACGAAATCAAATGATTGTGTGACATACATAGTGACGTCATGAATCTAGCACAATTATATAATGTATTTCGTCCCTTACCGTATGCCTTCACTAACACAACATTTTTCAATGATTGTCAACCAAAAAGTTGACGATCAAATTTTTAGATTTCTACTGAATTTGAGCGTGTCATCAAGAGTAAAAGAGAGTCATTAAATACATTTCTGCGCCCTCCACGATGAATTGTTTTCTATCAAAATCAACATATTATTTTTGTTAGCGTTTTTGAAGCTAACTGGTTGATGGGTTGCTTGAAATCCAACAAATCACCGACAATCACATTACGCTTATTGTTACCTTGTATTAAGCGGCTTCAATCAATTTTTGACAATACTCTAGGAAACCAGCAACTGTTACGTGACATCGAAATGATATGAAAAAGAGACAGTTAAATCAATGAAAAGGGTGTGGATGTGAAAAGAACCAAAACACACCTATACTCATCCACCCTTTCTCAAAGGAATAAAAGAAACCTTTCCTTGATTCGTAATAATAGTATCATGTTTATGCTGGAAACTAGCCAGTTATAATAAAGATAACTGCTTTTCATATGATGTATTTTAAAATTCAAATTAATGTCTATGAGGAGATAGATCATTAAACATCTATAAAAAAAACTGATTTTCGGTGGTATTTGGTACTGACTAAGAACTTATGTACAATTTAAAATGAAATCGTTTGAAGAAGAAAATATTAAAAAATAAATAAATACATTCATCGCTTACTTATTTTTCACAGGTTAAAAACACTTTAGTAAGAGTGAAGTATCTGTTGATGAAAATATTTCGAAAACAAATGAATAGTCTAATGTACACTGCTATTATTTCGGCGTTGGAAGCATTCTAAGACACTGTATTCATATTTCCGATGCAAGTAACTTTTTCCAAACAATTTCATAATGCTAAGTGCAATAGCGTGCTTAACGCATGTTTACATCTAAAAGCAACTTCATGAATATCCATATCTCGTCAGTTTAGGGATAAGTGAATCGACTCTCGATAAATGTTACTTGTTTTATTTCGTTTTTTCTGATATATTATTATTTTTGCTCTTTTAACCATTGATTTAGAACTATTTGAAAAAAAATTGCACAAATTTGTTTTTTTTATTAATTTTAGAATCTTTTTCCTATGCCTCGAAGCAACTATAAGCATTTTTTTAGTGCGGACTCTTCAGTAGTTACACTAGATAACCATCGCAGGGAAGTCTAAGTTTTCTTATTTTCAATATAAATTTATATGATTATATTACTTTCTTCTCCCTCGAAAAGTCTACCATATATCAATATTATATTGTTGAAACAGAGCCATAGGATCTGACTGTATGATCCATTATAAAACAGGTATTATACGAAAAACTATATATTATAATAGTACCATATTAAAATAAATCGTTGTTGGTCAAAACGCCCAAACGAACAATTGAAATATGTACTTGTATAAGTAAAAAAAGTTTATGAATAGGACCATATTGGAAAACAAGATGTATTGTCTGTTATACATTTAGATGCAGTTTTGATGTCCTTTCTTAACATGCCGACTTCGGTGTATTTTCGCTTTCACTCGCCGTAGTTATGATAACTGAAAAGAATTATTGTCAGACTCTTAGTCTTCTTTATTGTACCGAAAACATTTTTATTAAGAGTATTCTCTCAACGTATTGTCAGTTTGCTTAATTGGTAGGTTGTTAAGAATACGGCCACATAGATATTCGTAGTGTGCATTCAGATATAAAAAAAACAGAAGTAGCTAAGCCAACTGGCTATCATTGGTACTCGTCTTATCACAATATCAAATGAAAGTCTTGTCGTTTTCAGTCGACTATTTTTATAATGTTTGACATATATTGTTAGAAAATCGAATTTATCGCACAAATTCAATATTTTCTCAATTTTTCCCGAAAGACCGACCGCAGTTGTTTTTTTTTCAAAGTTTTTTTGACTTTTCGAAGCATGTCAAAAGCCATGTTTATTCAATTGATACCTACATATTATACGACAATGTATACCAAATAATTTTGTTTATTCTAACTGTGCAACCAATCTTATTTACAATGACATAGAATATGGTTCCGTTACCAGAGGTAGGATTCTTCAAATGACGTGCTCAATTTACTGAATTAGTTCAAGGTTGATCCATAGATATTTTAAGTCAAGAGATAATTCAACTAGACTAACCTATCTAGCATCTTTAATGAAAATGTACCATTAAAGAAAAGCAAATTTTATGTATCTTTTTACCGTTTCATGAGAACAGCTGATAAGTTTAGATGATACACAATTATTTAAATCACATCAAATAATAATATGATCAAGCCATGAAATTTAATGGTTTGTATTTATACAAATATTTTCATTGTTTTAAATTCTATGCAGTAAAGACCCATCTAACAATATGCGAAAAATCTATGGTGATATAATTAGGTTTTACAAAATAGAGTGATAGTATTGCAGCCAATACATTTTTGTTTTTATCACTCGCTCGTTTTCTATGTTCTGATTATCAGCAGAAAGTCATTGCTTACTAACAACAAAATGATGCACGTCATCTACTAACGCACACAGAACAGTGAAACAATATAATAAGCAGTTCGTGTTCTCTTTGTCTTTATCTTTTCATTTGCTCGTTCTTCTCGTCACATAAAATATTTAAAAAAAACACACCACATCACAATACACGTACACAGTTATTAGTAAGACTCTCCACTATCATCAACAAACAACTCTTTTCGAGAAATATGACGCTTCCTATTCGCACGCTGTTGGTTAATCCAGAATGCCAATCTGGTATGTTTTTCTTGGCAAATCTTTCCGTACTCATTTATGTTCTGCTCTTTGTGGTCAGCTGGCCTTACACATTGCTTTACTTGAGTATTCATATTGTTGTCTTCTTCGTTATTAACAAACGCTTGGTAGCTGGCCGTTTATATATACCAAAGAAGAATTTAACCAATCAAACTGTTATAGTTACAGGTGCAGCTTCAGGCATAGGACGAGTTACTGCTCTTGAATTAGCTAAACAACAAGCACGTGTTATTGTTGGTATACGTGGTCAAGAAAGAGCTGAACATGTCGCTCAACAATTAAGCAAAGAATCTCATGGAAACGTTATTGGTTATCATCTGGATCTAAGTGATTTAGCAAGTGTCAAAGTATTTGCTGAAAAGATTGATAAAGTTGATATTTTGATTAACAATGCCGGAGTTAACAAAAAACATAAAGAACTGACTAACGATGGTCTGGAAAGTACTTTTGGAACAAATCATAGTAAGCTGTGTTTCTACACTAATTTATTCTTTATTTGTCATTTAAATTTAGTCGGTCATTTCTATTTAACTCAACTTCTTCTTCCTTTACTTATTCAATCGAATGGACGAATTGTCAATGTGAGCAGCATTATGCACATCCTTGCTAATGAAAACATTGATTTTTCAAAAACCAATGCGTACAATACTATGCTAGTATATGCTGAATCAAAATTAGCCAATATCCTACATATTGTTGAATTGCAAAGACGTTATGGTGGTCGAGGCATTAAGACCTACTCACTTCATCCTGGCTTCATTCGTTCAACTGAACTAACACGCGAGAGAACGCTACTTCAAGCAATCTTAATGATCTTGTTTGCTATTTCTTCGAAAACGATTGCCCAAGGGGCAATAACAACGCTGTATTGTGCTTTGTCGGATGAAGCTCAACCTGGAAAGTACCATTCCAATTGTCGAGTAGAACAACCTAGTCTAACTGCATACAATTCGAAAAAGGCTCAAGAACTGTGGGAGTTAAGTGAGAATATTGTAAATGAAAAAACAAAGTATCTTTAGTTCTTTTTCAGTCTATTTTTATTATTTTCTTCATACTATATTTTTGCGAAGTTTTCTATGTTAATTTACAAATTCTTTTTTTAATAACACTAGACGTATGATAAAAGAAAGATAGATTTTAATATAAAAAGTGTTGCAACGATTTTATCTCTCTTTCATACAATAAATTTTGATTTCTTTTTGTTTCTCTTTAACTTTAAAATACAAATATGAATATTTCTTAAAAAAAGAACAATTTTTGTATGACATTTATCAGTCGTCACCAAGTGTACTCTTGTTCTCGATCACCGTCATACAACATTGCTTTCAAGAATACTCAAAGATCCCGTAGTATGTGTATGAGAAGATGAAGATTCAAATCAATTTTGGGATGGAGTCGATCGATTTTTCTGCGCACTAGCTCAGTTATTTTTTCGCCTTTTTGTAGATTCATATATTCTATGTGACTGTCAAAAATTTTAAATGGTTGTTATGATTAATATTTGTCATTTTGTGGTTTGGGCGCTGCAAATAACAGAAAAATGGTGAATTGTCAGAAGATTTGGGGTGTGGTTGTGGGAGGATGGGTGCAGCTGCGAGAGAAGACTAGACCCACACTCAACACTATCCAACATCGTCATCCACACCCTCATGTTTTTCGATGGGAAAATCAAGATGTTGTAAGTCTTTTTTTCTCTAACAAAAAACAAAATCTTTAATTTAAAATAGATTTATCAAATTTTGTTAAGTTTTTCAAATGCATTTCGTGGAACAACAGTAATACCGAATAATAACCATTAGATTCTTGTCGCCGAACATCATTAAATTTAAATTAAGCATCACATAGTAAACAATCATTTGATGAAGTAATTAAATTTCGTTGTTATTTTGATATTAAAGAAGAAAATATAGATAATAAAGGAAATTTTACTTTACCATTTGTACTGAGGTAGAATTTCAATTGATTTCTTTTCATGTAAGTAGGCCAGAAAAAAATCTTTAAAATGTTAGTATTACTCTTCAATAAATTCAAGGAACTTCATTAAATAATAAAAAGTAAACATTTCGTTCGATTTTCTTTTGTAATTTTTTATTTAATAGATGTTTGGATTTACTTCTTGTTCAAGGAAGTAATGTTCGCGCTAGTGATACACAATTACTTGATCTAGTTTGTTTTTTAAGAAAAATTTTTTTTTCTATTTTTTAAAAAAATATTTGTAGAAAATTTAACCGAAACTGATCGAGAAGTATGGAAATGCTTAGATTTTCATCAAGATGGAAAATCAATTTTCGAAACTTTTCTAATAAATGTTACAAGTAGAATCTTTATACTCGAAATGAAACCAATTCATTTTATTTTCTTCTAGTTTCAATAATATTTCTCAGTGAATCAATTTGATATGTTGAATTAGGTTCGACTGTTTTAATCAAATGTCGAATAAATACAAATCTATCTGCTGAAATTTTCTAGTTTAAAGGACGAGATAAGACAAATCCTTTTTTTTCATCAAATTGTGAACCAAAAAAAATGATGGATTAAAAATCAATCGAGTTTCATCAATTGATAATGATACTTTTTGGTGTCAAGTAGATGTTATTGAAACTGGTAAATCGAGTCAATTTTTCTTGTCCTATTCAACGTGATTCAATGGAAAATCTTTCTTTAGAACAGGTTTATACGAATAATACGCCCGTACAAATAAAGTTAAATAAAAAAATCCAGAAGACTTGATCTATAGGTTTTCTCTTTCTTTATAGCTAATTAATGGAATATCAATTGATGTTACGAACCTTTTGACTAAATGAACTGTTAATCCTGTACGTCGTGAACACCATGAAAATTATACTGTATATAATATACCTAACCATTCCGGTAAATGCTTCTTTTCATAGGAAATATTGTTTTGTTTTTTTTGTTTAGCTTTTTTTCGTAATAATGAAATGTAAATTTGATAGTTATCCATCTCCTCGTCTTTCAATGGATAAAATTTTTCAAGAATATAATCGAGTGCTTTTAGAAGATAATGATCCCCAAGTAATTGATATTTTTTTACTAAAAAAATTAGTTTAACAATTTATGAAACTCAATTAACGGTAGATTTATTTTTATCTATTTGAAATTTTCATTTTAATATTTGGTTTAGCATGATTCATCCGAAGAAGCCCCAGGTCGAAGAATCCGACAATAAGATCTTGTGCGATATTGCAATACCTTACAAGATCTTACTGTGAAATCTTATATGATCATATAAGATCGTATGAAAGTCATATACGATCTTGTATGATTTTTATAAGATAGCCATAAAGCCTGCACATCTGATCATATCGTACTGTACGATTCTTATATGATCTTATTGTATGATCTGATAAGATCTTGCATTATTCATACATGCTTCTATACAACTATAGGATGCATCGCATGATTGATATTCTTGCACTTTTCATCACCTCTACCTAATTTTTCAACAGGCTGAGTTACCTTCTTCAAACTCTTTGTTTCAAGAGAAAACATTTATCGCGAAATTTTTATCATTTTACTTCGTCTCAGACTAAATTTATTTTTAAATAAAAAAAATATTTATCATTTCCACATGAAAACATGCAATGAGTAATGCGTAGTTTTATCGAAAACAGATCACAGTTCGGTTTGATGTTAATTTTAAGCTCGTCCTCGAATAATCGACCACCAGTATATAGAGTAGAGTTCGATATTGAAATTGACTTAATTAATTACAGAGTTGTAGTTTGGAAAACGGATTTAACCAAATTATATTGGATAAGGTTTCCTTGATTTTATTTTAATCATAAATGAATAATTGTATTATATTTATTTTGTGTTAGTTGGAATGATCAGATAAAATAATTTAATTTAATTGTAGAAAAAATCTAGTATGTTAATTTTGTTTCAATCGAAATAAAATAAAATGATAAAATTAGGTTAATTTAGTTCCATATAATGTAAATTCTAAATAATATTATCAAATTGAATATTAATTTTGCATTAAAAAAATATAAATGCAATAATTCCATTAGTTTAACTTTATTTCAAGTAAGATTAATCTCTTCACTTTGAATTTATTTTATTTTCCCAGACTATTAAATAAATAATCTTATGAAAATGAACCTATTTTGTTGTAAAACAAGTATAGTTGTATTAAATTGCTTTCATTTTACTTTGACTATAAGTAGATAATCTTCTTAGATTAATTATATCTTAACTGAAATAAGTTAAGCATATACATCAAATGAAACTAACTCCTTTCACATTGATTGAAAGTAAAATAAAATAATATTTTTCATCATTAGTTTGAGTCAAAATAAACCAGAAATATCGAAATTCAGTCGATGAAACCACAAAGACTAAATAAGATCGATACGAATTTCAAATATCTAAAACAAAACTGGATAATTTTGAAGAATTATAAATTAATATAAAAAGCCTAGTTGTATTTTTGAAAAAATATATGACGTGCAATTTCTTCCACCATACCAGAATATAAGACGAATGTAACGGTTTCTCGCTCATATATATAGTATATATTAGCCATTGTCAGCTTACATGTCCTCTACACTAGAGAATTATTATTAATTGCAGTTTTACAAACAAATACAAAAAATGTTTTTTTCAATAAGAATAAACGATAAAATGAATTTAACGAGATAAAATTCAAAACAATAATAAACTTAATCAAGTCAAATCAAATTGATTAGTAGTGTGCTGTTTTTATAATAACCATCGCTGTATACAAAACGTGTATTTGCAATTTAAAAAGAAATTATATTTCTATTAGGAAGCATTCCATCACTTAAACACGTGTAGTAATCCACATCTATAAACCTATCGTTATAAAAACTAGTTTGCATGAGGAATATCTTAAAATTATGGTCTGACAAGATCCTACAATATCTTACAAGACTCCCATCCTCAGATCTTGCAAGAATCTTATATCAAGAATCATATAAGATTGACGCTAGCATCTTATAATAAGAATCATATTAAATCTTAGAACAAGAAATTTGCAAGATTTCGTAAGATCATACAATCTGAATCTTACAAAATCTAATTGTCAGTAAGATCGTATAAGATCTTATATGATCCTCGTACGATTTTTGCACCTGGGTAGTTATAAACAGCCTATCGTATACAATACGAAGAACGAAAAACATTCAACTATTGTGTATATATGTCACTATGTAATAGTGCTAATGTAATTGCACAATGTCAGTTAATTCCATTATAAAGATAGTTTATACAGAATTTACTTTTGCAGTTATTCTGCAAAAGTAAATTCTGTCATTTTCGATAGTCTTTCTTTGCTGACATTGTCAATTACAAAAAATCTTCGCTGCTATTAAAATAAAAAGTTTTATATTTCAATATTAAGTCGTTCATTTACTTATATATATTTATTCTACTATAATTTTTATATCCATATGTCTAAAATAAAACACAATAACAAAAGGAGACCTATAGTTGGCTTCTTTATATGCACATATCGATGATTCGATCAAACGAGCGTATCAAAGAAAAGACAGCAGTAGTATATGAGATTTATTAATAATTCTTGTCTGTTTGAAAATCAATTTACAAGCTATATAATTCACTAGAATTTAACCACATCCAATTTTTTTTTCTATTTTCCTGGCATAATAACTGATCATCTACTTTACTTCTATTGTTTTTCCGATAAAAAGAACTTATACAATAAAAATCTCGATCAATTCTACAATCACCAAATTTAATCATTGTTCTATGAATAAATTGAACTGAGATTTTTCCGATTCTAATGTGAGACGACATTCACGTAAATGAAATCTTTTTGCAATGAGTTTATTCACAAAGAAAAATGCTTAAAATATCCTGTACAATTCCAGTTGATTTTAAAAACAAATTTTAGTCCTGTTTAATCCACTTATGTGTATTAATTCACCAAGGCTTCAACGGAGCACCGTTGCCATCATTGAATTTATTAACTCCAATCCGTATTACATCGACTAACCACCAAATTCCAAAACCACCAAGAGTTAGAATCTTAAAAACGCCAGCTACAATATATCTTGCATTACCTTTAGCTAAAACAAACCAGTCAACACCTAAACCGATATTTTATTTGGTTATGTGATCATATATTCTTTTCAGCCCGATTATGTACATTTGACTGTTTCATGTCGAAATATTTGAATAATTTTAGCCCAAGAAGAACGAGAATAAAAAAGCTCCTAGCTGAGAATATTGTTCGTACGAGCATGGTGTACTATCCTTTCATGTCATATAACCATTATCACACACACAATTATTGTTACGACATACACCATGATAGCAATCAACGGATGATAAACAAGAACCTGCTTTTTTTTGTGTACTATTTAAGTTCGTTGCAACAACCATCATTGTAAAACTCATGATAAATGCAAAGATTATTTCAATTCTAGAAATAAGAAATATATTCGCAACACAATATAAAGCTTTTTTTATTCTTACTTTTGCATTTTTAATATGTTGTCTATCTGATAGTTTGTGAATACTGATAGTTTAGGAATCTAATGAGCATACTGCACGAAACAAAGTGTGTATACGTATATATAGACGTTATACTTTGATAGGAAAAATCCAAGTAAATATTACTAGAAATAAAACTGATAACGACTATTTATCTCTGTTTTATTTGCTTATCTACGCATAATTTATAAAAAAGAATTTTTCTTTCTTACTAATACGATTACTAATAACATTCTTTGTAATGAAAAAAAAATGTTCTACAATCTTTTACTGATTCACTTTGATATTAATAATATACAGGAAAGAATTTTTTCCATATTGAGTCAAGGAGAGATTACATTAATCATTTGAGTCTCAAATTATCTCTGCTGCGGTGTCAGACGTGGGTGGAGTGAGAGTAAGAAAATAGGTGTAGCTTTTTTATACTATGAGACTCAAAGTGTTGGGTGTGGGTGTGCGTGTGGGTGTGGGTGTGGGATGTGGGTGTGGGGTGTGGTTTTTGGTGTGGATGAAGAGAAGATCCACCAACACCCACACTCACACCCTCACACCCACACCCCACCCCACCCTAAATATGTCGTTGCATTAGTCTGAAAACTTAGGTGATAAAGATAAAATATTGTTTCGAAAAAGTGCAGCTAATTATCTTTGAAAATATCCATCCTGAATGATGGCTTCTGTTAGTTTTGAAATAGAGTCGATTTTGCTACTAAATTCATTCACATCCTTTACGAAAAGAAAATTATTTTTCATTTTCAAAAGATAAATCTTCTTAAATATGAATAAACTCATAGTTATGAAATTCTGTGTATTAAAATATAAAAAATCCGCCTATAAAATGATGCGTTGAACAGAAAAAGAGATGATAAAAAAATATTCGATCAATTACCCATTCATTCATTGTCAATTTAAATTATAAAAAAATATGCATCGGTTATATTGAAGACATCGGTCATATACAACGCAAACACGTCAGTACAAAAACTGACATTTATAACATAAGCAAAATAGATAAACGTGTAAATGAATATGGAATATTCATGTGTTCAATTGAACGATTTACCTGATGAAATTCTTATAATTATTTTTAACAAATTGGCTACTACGGAAATACTTTATTCTTTAGCAGATATCAGTAAACAATTCAATAGAATAGCACATGATTCTATTTTTACAAATCATTTGATCTTCCTGATGGCTGTACTAGATGGTCCTGTTTATCCATTGCCAAATCCAATGGCTTGAACTTGAATCACGATCAATGAAACGTATTCTTCTTGTTACAAATAATGTTGAAGCAGAAACAGTTATAAGTCTTTTTATCGGTAAGATATGTAACTTTGATTCTTTTAGTGATAGATATTAAAAAGTATAACTCAAGAAAATTCATGAATAAATTTCATTAATAAGTTGAAGCTAATTTCATGTTTGATTCGTATTTATTTGTCAATATAATGTGAAGAAAGTTGTCATCAAAGAGATCATTTTCCATGAAACGTCAGTATTTATCTAAAAATAAAAAGTTTAGATATTATCTCCGATTTCAATTTATACAAGTTTTTGAAAAAGAAAATGTAGAATAATATTAATAAGGATTAATGACATCGATAGAATATAATCAATCAAGTAAGTCCAAAGAAGAAAATCAAATATGTAGATTATAGCATTTGTAAAAACATACGAAAAAAA